TGTAACAGCTACACGCAATGAGGCACTTCCCTTCTAGAGTGACTGTTTACACAGACTGCGTGAAGGAGGCTTTGTGACAAAGCATTCTCTGTAAGAGGAGTGCTGTTCCACAGTCCTCCATAATGAAAAAAAGAGTCAAAGCTCAGTCTGCTTCAAGGGTAATGCATGTCTTTTTTGCTTCTCTCTTAAAAAAAAAAAAAAAATTTAGCTTAGTATTTCTCAAGGAAAGACAAAAATAATAAGCTTAAAAATTAGCCAATTTAGTAGGTTCTATTAGAAAAAGCACAAAATGTTCCTTTATTCAGGCTGTGCTCTGAAGTAATAAAAAGTTATATAACCTAACAAAACTGCAAAACAGCTTTAAATTATAGAATAGTTTCCTAACTAAATGTGAAAACTGGATAAAGATTTAAGTAGATTATGGGTGCACGGGAGTTACTGATAACCCAAAATCAGAATATGTATGTTCCCCATTCCTATCCCCAAACCCACTATGGAGAGAATATGTATTTTAATAATTTGTGACCCAGAAAAATGCTTCCTTTGGGTTTATCTGTGGCATACCAGATCTTTACAATATAAATATTAAAAATAAATGCCCCAGGGGTGCCTGGCTGGCTCAGTCGACCAAGGGCCCAACTCCTGATTTTGGTTCAGGTCAGGATCTCAGGGTCATGGGATGGAGCCAGAGTTGGGCTCCATGCTCAGCGCAGAATCTGCTTAAGATTCTCTCTCCCTCTCCCTCTGCACCCCCCTCCCCGCCCAGTTTGCGCCCGTGCTCTCTCTCTCTAAAATAAATAAATTTTAAAAAATTAAAAATAGGGGCGCCTGGGTGGCTCAGTCGTTAAAGCATCTGCCTTTGGCTCAGGTCGTGAACCCAGGGTCCTGGGATCCAGCCCCGCATCGGGCTCCCTGCTCTGCGGGGAGCCTGCTTCTCCCTCTCCCACTCCCCCTGCTTGTGTTCCCTCTCTCGCTGTGTCTCTCTGTCAAATAAATAAATAAGTATAGTGGTACCGCTGAGAGAACTGGATTGTGGGATGTACTACCAGTACATTATCTGTACTAGCAAAAGGAGTTGAGATACTGACTCTGTCAAGTACCGTATCAATTAACCTATGCTATGAGAAAGTAACAATTTTTTGTTATCTTCATTGATTTCTGTAAGACGCAGGGGCACTTAATTTTTTTTGTAGTTCTGGTATGTTTCTTGTTAATTCAAGTAACACTAAATACTATCTACCACACTAAATACTATCTAAAGTTTTCAGTTTCTGTTTTATTCAAGCTATTTGCCAAGCAACTATGTTTTGAAGATACTGAAAACACAATCTCCAGGGAAACACCGCCACACAATATTAACCACTAACCACTACTACGATAGTCTATGCATTTTATGCTTTTTTTTCGGCTTTTGTGTTGCTAATTGGGGGTTAAACCCCCCAAATTAGAATATCCATTTGCATGGAGCAGTTAGGAAAGTCTTTAAGCATGCAAAGATAGGAAGCTTGGCTGTCTTTCTCTTTTCAATGAAACAGCAACAAAACTAGCATCTTTTAAAATACTTAGGCAGGTTTTTGTCACTATTGCTAACAGGCCATTTACAGTTTGGGTTCCTAATAAGGGGCCCCCTTTTAAAACCAATTTTTTTTCAGCTACGCTATATAGGCAGTCTGTAACTTTATTAACACAGCAAACTACATCAATCACACAAACTTCCCAGGACACTGTTAATGCATATTGTATGTTGAATTTTATATAAGTGACTGGCAGTCCACAGCAGTTGAAGAAGATGAACTTTATGCACAAGTCTTCTAAAGGCAATATTTAAGTTGTAATCCAATGTAACATTTACTCTAAATCACTTAACATTATCCAAATCTCATTAAAAAAAAACCTCGAGAAATATTACTTTTAAATGTAAAAATCTACTTGAATCTTCCTTCATTTTTCTAAAATGACCTAATTAGTATATTCTAGTGGTAAGTTTGTGGACTTGCCCTCTCAACTATTAGTTAGCAATGGTAACCATGGTAGGTCACTAAAGAGCTGCTGGGACTGGTCAACTTGAAAGCATATAATTAACATAAAATTCGCCTTAAAACACACGTTCTATCTGTAAACGTTACTAGTTTTTTACAGAAAACTTTAAAAGAGAAGCTGCTGCATTATTAGGTATTGAATACGAGTCTTGAAAGAGCCAGAAACACTATTCGGGGATAGTATACTTTTATTCTAATGGAAAAGGAAATTAGTTCCACTTTATGCGTTTAGTATGGATTAAAATAGTGAAAAATGGAATGATTCCTCGCCGAAAGTTACACACGTGTGTCTAAAAGGTTACTTCCGGGGCAGTAAAGGGCGGCCACACGAATTCCCCCTGCCATTCTCAGCGCCCACCGTCCACGTGGTTCTCCGCGCTGCCCGCAGCCGGGGCCTAGCCGGCGGAGGCCTAAAGGAGCCCTCGGGAGGCGCGGCCCCGCCTCAGCCCGCCCCCCCAGGGGCGGGGCCGGCGCGCCAGTCACGTGGGCGGCCGCGGCCGCCATCTTGCAGGGAGGGGGCGGGGAGGAGCCCCAAGGGACGGGTCCCTAAACGCGTCGGCCAGTCCGCGGCGGCGCGTGACCGGGGGGCCCACCGACGCGCCGCGTCGCGTCCACGCGACGAACGTGCCAGACTCGGGCACCTCCCTGCAGACTCCGAGGTGGGTCCTACCCCACCGGGAGCGTACCGGCGGCGCAAGGCCGAGCATCAGCTGGTCTGGACTGCAGCGAATCGAGATGCAAATCCATCCACCCTCATCAGCTGCCTTTGGAGTGACAGCTTGGGAGCAACAAGATCCGCGGAAATGTCTTCAAGGCCAGAACAAGTCACAGCTGAGGGCCTCAGAGTCCAGGCTAACAAGCAGAAAGTGCGGGGTCAGAACAATTTAATGAGACGTGAATGATTTGTTACGGTAACCCTAAGCTACCCGAGGGAAAAGTTCATCACGCCACCAGTGTCTAAAAATAGCCGTCAGCGTCACCTGTAGTACGTGTATCCCGTATGATTTATTCTCCCACTTCAACTGATGGCCTCAGCACAGGGCTCTGCCTGAGAAGTAACGATGTGCTGAAATTAATGGCAAGATGCCCAACCTCACTTTGCCCACTCCTCCCAGCACTCACCGGTTGCCAGAAAAGGCCACACACTGCAGTCAAGATGAAAATCTCGTTACTCTGGTTTGCACGCATTTCTCCCTTTCTCTAGTCGCCTTCCGACCCTCTCATTACAAGCAAAATTTAATGGGGGGGGCGGGGGGGGCCGGGAAGACTCCTAGCAGTTAAAATCAGAAATCGGTTACCCTTGTTGGAATATGGACTAAAACTGTTCCACTGTGTGACATTTTCATATACCTACAATCTAAGATGTTTACAATATATAAAATTTTTTAAAAAATAAGATAGAAGTATTGCTCCTAATTTCAGGCTTTCTTCTCCAAATATAAGTGGCTTATAGGACTTTTTGTAATTATTTCAGTAAATAGGCTAAGAGTGGAAAAGGGCTTTTACCAACAGTATACACAGCTGCATATTAGTAGTAAATTGACACTGGAAGACAAAATTTGAAGCTCACCAAAAAAATACTGGATACTAGCATTACTACACTGGAGTCTGATAAAACATGTCCTAAAATGTGAGTTAGTCACTTCACAGAAGCCTCGTTTTAAAAAGGAGGGGCTCAGCCTAGATTATCGCTAAATCCCTTCCAGCCCCCAAATTCCTTGATTCAATGGGTATTGAGTCCATACAGCCTTTGGAGAAATACAATGCCCAGTTTTAGTTCCAGAGTATTGAATGACAGCAGATACATAAGTTGAATTAACTTTCAAGGAAGGAAGGAGAAAAAAAAAAATCCCCCTTTCCAATATATCATCCTGGAGATCACCTAGATTGAAAAGTATGGCAACCAAATTAGTACCTTTTAAGACTGTAAACCCCGAAAATAAACTTATTGTACCTAGCCTTTACTCTGAAACCTACTCTCCTCTCCTCACTTAAATTATTACGATCAAAGACTTTTATACTGGGCCTACATTATTATTAAATTGCTTTCACGGCTCTATAAAATTTCACCTTAATGTCTGAGACAAGTGACTCATCTGGATTCTTGTCTACTACATTTCGGTTTAACAACTTTTAGAAAACATTTATGCCTACATTAAAGGCCCAACAAATACCCCCGGACTCAAATCTGTAGGCAAGACTCAATAGATAGAAAATAAGTTATGCCAGAGGTAAAAGGTGTAAGCAGCCCGCTCCAGGAGAGGTTTCTTGACCCAGGCAACCTGCGCTACTGATCATCAAGTTTGAGTCAATTCGCCGCTCTCCACATCAGGTTTTTTTCTGGGAACATCAAGTTAGCAGCAAGAGCCAAAAGCCCTACGACCCCTTTTAATAAACTCGGGCATTCACTGAGCAAAAAGAGCCCCTTTGTGCTGAAGACAAGGGCAGCACGCCGAGAGCGCACCTTTAGAACACCTCAGCGAGGGGAGAAGGCTGAGCTTTAAAACTGCAACCAGAGCGCCAGATGGCGAGAAAGAGAAGGCGCTGCCGGGGGCTAGACTGAGGCTAACACAGTCACCTCTAGCGCTGCGCCTTTCCCACCACCCAGGGCGACATGCTCCGAGCCAAAAATGCCCCGAGACCCTTCCTCCGAGAGGGGGACTAGGCTGAGAGCTCCATGTTTTCTGTGGCAACTCCCGCACGGAAGAGATTTCTAGAGCATTCTGTTATGGCGGGTGCCTGAGTGTGCATGGGGGGGGGGCAGCGGTGAGGGTGGGAGAGTGGAACTGAACCGCCTAGCAGAACGAAAATTAGTATTAACGGCGCTGGGAGCCGTGGGGTGGGGATTCCGAGCCACCTGCCCCGGGCTGAAGCTCGGCCAAGAGGCGTCCGAAAGCCAGGCCAGGGAGGCCGCCGGGGCGGTGACCGCAACGCGGGTGCTGGGAGGCTCGCGCGCCTTACCTGGGCCCGGGGTCTGGCAAAGTTGCACGGCTCCACCTCCACCTCCGCGTCCTCGGGGCCCCCGCGGAGCGCAGTGCGGAGCCTCTCCAAGTGCTCCCTCAGGGTGACCCGCTGGTGGAAGGAGAACGCCGGGTGCAACGAAGCCATGGTGAAGAGCAGCAGCAGTTCCTCCTGCGCCCTGAAGCCCAGCCCGCCGCCGGGCCGGGGCTCGGCGCCGCTGCCTTCCGGGCCGGAACCGTCCTTCTCCGCGTCCTCCTCGCCTTCGCCGTCCTCTCCGCGCTCGCCGGGCTCGACCTCCGCGCCTCCCCGCGAACCCTCACCCCGAACCGCGCGCAGGCTCTTGAGCACCGAGTCCACCTGGGGCAGGAGGCGGTGCAGGCGGCCGGCTGCCTCACGGTTCTCCGAGCCCAGCAGCGCCAGGTAGACGATGAGGCGCGAGCGCACGGCCGGCTCTCGGAAATCGGCCAGCGGCCCCGGGTCCGAGAGGCCGTTGGCCTTGGCCTCTGAGTCGCGCAGGTAGTGGTAGTCCTTGCGCGCCAGGTCCTCCAGGCACGAGCCGAGGAAGCGCAGCTCCAGCGGGTTGCACAGGTCCAGCAGCCCGCACATGAACTCCAGGCGCTGCGCCGAGCCCAGCACCAGCCCAAACCACTCGTAC